ATTCAATTCAACATTAAAATGTACCATTCACGATTGAGGCATCTCGCGGTCACATCGAGGCAATGCACAAATAAGAAACTCAGTCTGGTTACCAACTCACTGGGTTACTAACTAATTATTTCAGCTTCACCTCGAACTCTTACAAAGTGGGTCTCATTAAGACTCTCGTTGATAGGGCCTACAAGATTAGTAACACTTGGATAGGGTTTCACGAAGACATTAACAAACTTATTGATATTCTAAAAATGAATCTTTTCCCTGCTCATTTAATCGAGAAGATTATAAACCGTTACATCACTGGGACCCAAAGCAATCATCATCCCCGGGGTTTCCATCCTACCACTTCACCTACGTTTTACTTTAAGCTACCCTAAATGGGCCACTAGTTTGCTATCACTCAAAGAAAGATTCGCCATTTTATTAAGCGCTATTGCAATGACTTGGATATTAAACAGGTTTTATCTTCCTTCCTAATCGGCTTCTTGTTTAGTGTGAAAGACCCTGTCGCTGACGGGCTCCGCTCACGTGTGGTTTTTAAGTTTGTATGTGCTGGCTGTAATGCCTGATACGTCGGTGAAACCTGCCGGCATTTTCCACGAGTGTTAGAGAGCACTTAGTCAGTGACAGGGCCTCTCACATTTTCAAGCATCTGAAAGATTCTGCACGTTGTCGCGCTTTGTGTTCAGCAGATAACTTTCATGTTTTAGATCACGCCTCTACCGGTTTTCAACTCAAGATAAAAGAGGCTATTCATATTCAAAGAGAACAACATCCATGAATCAACAATTACACCATGTAAGTCTAAAACTATCCTTTTAATTCTCACACTTTCATACTTTACCTCTTTTATTGTTGTCACTATTTATCATAATTAGCATTGTTCTACGCACTACATAATTCAACTCCAACACTTTGTACATTAATTAACTGAAGATGACAGAAGTTTCTGTCGAAACATGTTTTGTCGCTTTCTTTAAATTCTTGACATAATATAGTACAAAAAGATGAATATGAGCTCTGAGTGGCTACTCAAACGCTGAATATCCTTTGCCAGCCACTTCCCAACAACTCGCGCTGGATTTGCCCCCGAACATATTGTAATCGTTGCAGGAATATTATTATCAACCACTAGCCAGCTTCACTTCGTTGAATAGTTGTTTTAAGTTGGATTCCATGAAGTACTTTCGATTGGATGAAGAAAAAAAAAATAGTCAAAAAGTGTTCCAAAAAAAATAAGCCTACAATTTTTCCTGAACATTGCTCTTATTAATCGTACCCCTGACAAATTACCTAATCGGAAAGTTATTTGAAACCTAGAATTATTGAATATCACGAGTGAAAGAATAAGGCACATGAGGTTTGGTTTGTTAATTTATTTTTAATAAAGCTTACATAATACTCCTGATTTTCAAAGGCTTTTTCCCTCGGTAGAATAGCGATCATATGTAGTTGCTGCTTTAAATGAATTCTTCAGGACAAATTTGTCTTCAGATTAT